CGAGGGAAGATGAATGCAGCAGAGTGCTCTTGACCTCAGACTGGGGTGACGGTTCATCTTCCAGCAGGACAATGACCCAAAGCACACAGCCAAAATATCAATGGAGTGGATTCACAACAACTCAGTGAATGTCCTTGAGTGGCCCAGCCAGAGCCCAGAACTAAATCCTATTGAACATCTCTGAAGAGATCTGAAAAATGCTGTACACCGTTGCTTCCCATCCAACCTGATAGAGCTTGAGAGGTACCACAAAGAGGAATGAGCAAAAAATCCCAAAGACAGGTGTGCCAAGCTTGTGTCATCATGTTCAAAAAGACTTGAGGCTGTAATTGATGCCAAAGGTGCATCAACAAAGTATTGAGCAAAGGCTGAGAATACTTATGCTCATGTGATGTTTCGGGGTTTTTATTTTGCATAAATTTGCAACAATTTAAAAAAAATCTCTTTTTTTCACGTTGTCATTATGGGATATTGTGCGTAGAATTTTGAGGAAATAAATCAATTTAGTCTATTTTTGAATAAGGCTGTAACATAAAAAATGTGGAAAAAATGAATCGCTATGAATACTTTCCGGATGCACTGTATTAGATCATAATATCAAATGATAATAAAGCAGAGGTTTAAGCAGAGGACTTGTAAAATAAGCCAATTTTTTTAAGTGGAGTGTTCCTTTAACAATTATAGAGAAAACATAAAGAGAAACATGAAAAAAACAGCACCATATTTAACTATTTTACCCCACATACAGTATGATCATTACCAGGATCGCTCGCCACAGCTTAATGTAACATGAAGTGTCCTTAAGGCAAATCACCACTGACACAGACATTACACACAATCACCCCGAGATGCTCTTCAGCTGCAGCGAACAAGAAAAATGTGCCACAAACGTTTTACACCTAAGAGACAAGCTGCTGGTCCTCAATGTTAGCTGCATTTTTTTAGCAAACAACCACATTGTATTATCACGTGACCACATATTTTCTGTATAAAAATGAATAATGATCCGTCAAAGTATATTTTAGCCAAGGATCAAAGCAAACTTATTTAGGTACATGAAATGCTGTGTATGAAATTCCATTATGCATGACATTTTAGACTTGTGTAGTGCTAAATGCTTAGGATGTTTTTTTGAATAACACAGTTGGAAAAGATTTTTACTTACCCTATCAAAAAAATGATTAAAATCTTACCATTTACAAACGCTATAACCCTTACCAAGAATAGATTAAAACATAGCTGTCAATTACTTTCAGTCTACAATAATAATAATTTGATAATTAAAAATGTAGGGCAGGTCAATATCCTCAGCAGTAAATAAAAGGAGAACTTTTAGGTAGTTTTTTTAAGTAGAACTTTTAACTGCTAATTAAATGCTGTTTTTAAATACAAAGTTTTAATGAAATGGATTGTTAATGATTGTATGGAAGTTAATGGCCAGATTAGGTAGCTATACATGAACAAAGAAAAATTAAGGCTTGTTAAAAAAAGATTTAAGACCTACAAGACAATATTTCAGTAAATTTAAGACTGTTCAAGGCATAAAATTTACCTTTTGACATTTAAGACATTTTAAGATGTTTTAAGACCCCGCGGATAACCTGTGTGCAGATGAATATCAAATATCACAAATTAGAAAAGGTTGGTCAGTTAAATTATGCTACTGTAAGTAATGTTTATTCAGCAATAATTGTCCAGTACCGATAGCAGAACCGCTAACGCCAGAGCTTATCGATACTTATGTCTTTTATTATGTAGCACTGATACCGATAAAGTACCAAGTTTTGGTACCCATCCCCAATAATATGCATGTGCGTTACTCTTGACTGCACACTAAGAAAAAACGAGAGTAAAACTGAACTGAATTGGGGGGGGTCCTCGTAATAATTTATGATGTCATTTGCAGGCCAGAAGGAGAAAAGTGGCCGGGAATTTGAGACCCCGGGTTTGAATAATCTTTAAAAAAAAACACAATTTCTTCTTTAGGGTTTTACTGAAAAAATAAAAAACAAAAACCCACCAACATTTTCAATTTTATGGCGAGTTATTCATTTAAAGACACATACTTAATGACTTATAATGAGTTTGACAAATTTAACTTTTTTCTTTTAGAGGAGGGAGGTGAAAGAGAAAGCAGAAGAGATAGAGAGATAGAGAGGGAGAGAGAAAGAGAGAGAGAGAGAGAGAGAGAGAGAGGGTAGAGGAGAGCCTGTCGTCCCCGTGGACATGGTGAAGCGAGGACCAGTGCAACTGTAAGAGCGAGCGTTATTTGTCTTCCGCCGGCCGAGCACGAGAGCGCAGGGTAGCGCTGTTCATTTAATGCAAGGTTAGGCAGCCTGATGTGATGAATGGACTGTCGGCAGGAGAATAAGTCCATGCACTCAATCACAGGGATGACAGCATTTTCCCTCCGTTTTTGGGGTGCCTCCATAATTACATGACAAAGCAGCGCAAAACAGGGTGCCGAATCCCATCTACGACTATAAACGGAAGTTCTCCTCATTAAATTCAAGGCTATGTCAAATCTGCACACTGCTTTACCTGCCCTCCATCTAAAAATAGAATTTTTTTTTAAACGGGGAGGAAATCAGGGTGTGCTTTTCCATTACTGTAGAGCGGCAGAAAAATGAGATGATGTTTACAAACTCCATTAAATCCACAGTAACTCGGAGAGGGGAAGGGAGATAATAATACGCTATTGATTAATCCATAAAAGCTATAACAAAGAAGCAGGAACAATAAAACTGGGACAAAACTGGGAGACAAAAGAAAAATTACACTAGATATTTCAGTTGCTCTTTTCGTTCTGTATCTCGCCAAGTCTCTCTCACACACAAACACACACACACTGACATAAATGGTGACCTAGTAAACAATATAGACTGAAAAGCAGAACATGATGTCTTAAAAGGAAACGATCACACAGACATGAAGGTTCTGATATTATTCGCTTGCTCGGATGTCGATCTGAACCAGTATAGCTATTTTTAAATGAAACACAAAAAGAAAAGTCCACTGGCTTAATTTATTTGATGAAAACTGCATGTAATACTAATTTATTATCATATAATAATTACAACCAGAAATATCTCTTTTCAGTTTTCATATGGTTTTCTAATAGCCAGAAAATACACACTACCTGACAAAAGTCTTATCCGACTAAGTTTTAGGAACAACAAATAATACCTTGACTTCTAGTTGATCATCATCATCAAGGACTTGAGATTATTCTTATTTGACCAAAATGAAACATGATCATCCCTTGACTTTTAAAGCTTTAATTAGGACAGTAAGGTCTAACTTTGCTTGTCACTTAACAGAAATAATGTACAGTGTAGAATATAAAGTCATGGTGCAGTAGAAAAATAATTAATATTGTGTATGACTCCCATGAGCTTGGAGGACTGCATCCATCCATCTCTGCAATGACTCAAATGACTTAATAATAAAATCATCTGGAATGGCAAAGAAAACACTCTTGCAGATCTCCAAGAGTTCATCAAGATTCTTTAGATTCATCTTCAATGCCTTCTCCATCTTAACTCAGACATGCTCAATAATGGTCATTTCTGGTGACTGGGCTGGCCAATCCTGGAGCACCTTGACCTTCTTTGCTTTCAGGAGCTTTGATGTGGAGGCTGAAGTATGAGGAGTGCTATCCTGCTGAAGAATTTGCCCTCTTCTGAGGTTTGTAATGTAATGGGCAGCACAAATGTCTTGATACCTCAGGCTGTTGATGTTGAAATCCACTTTGCAGATCTCTCGCATGCCACATACTGAATGTAACACCAAACCATGATTTTTCTTTCACCAAACTTGACTGATTTCTTTGAGAACATTGGGTAAATGAGGGTTCCAATAGGTCTTCTATAATATTGTGATGATTGGGATGCAGTTCAACAAATGATTCATCAGAAAAACCTACCTTTTGCCACTTTTTCCAAATGATCAACTAGAAGTCAAATTATGTGTTGCTCTTACAATTGGGATTGACGACAAGACTTTTGTCAGGTAGTGTAGTGAAATTCACTTCTACAGCACATGCAGGTAAAAGTTGGCCATATTTTTCTGAGAAGAAAATATACATTGCAAAATATACCTGGATACATTTTATTGGTCTATTTTGTTAATTATTTTTTGCCTTTGAGGCTAAATGGCATTGGTGTTGAATGTGCCACAACTAAAAGTACTGCACAGACTTATTTTCTTTCATTAAAAAAAAACAAACAAAAAAAAAAACAATAAAAACCTAACATTATTGCAGTTGAAAAAAATGTAAAATTTTAATTGCATATTTATAAAAAAATTTTTAAAAAAAACATATATATATATATATATATATATATATATATATATATATATATATATATAATACTACAATGACTTCAGAATACTCTGATTTGGTGCTCAGATTGGTGCAAAATTTCTTTTCAGAAGTAATAAAATCAATTATGCTTTGTAATATTTTGTGGAAACAGTGATATAGTTCATGTTTCAGGATTCATTAAGAAATATAAAAGTTTAAAAGAGAAAATTTGTCTCTAAAATGTGTACCATTTTTAAAAGAATAAACAAGATACACATTTTATAGTTACAGCAAATAAACAATTGACCTTTTTGAACAGTTTTTCTTTGTTTTTTTTACTTCTCTAAACTTGACAGACAGTCAAGTTAACAACAAAGATTAAAGTAAACTACTTGATCTCATACATGGAAACATGCGTTCAAATTTTGTCCATGAAATAATTAAAAGCAGTTCTTTTTCCTGCCTCCTGTCACCTTCACCTATACGAAAACCTTTCTGTCCATCAAACCAGACTGATGTGTGAGCAACCTGACCAATCCCAGCCAATCAAACGGCCAATCCATCTTCCCAGCCCTAATTAATCTTCACACCTGACAACCTTGATTAGCTCTGAAGATTGAGGCTTGTGTACGACAGGTAATGATCAAGGTTTGTTTGCGAGTTTGCAGGTAAAAGTGTGTGTGGATGTACTCACTGTACAGAAGCTGCTGGCCGTTATCTTCAGGATGAAGTCCACACTGAACTCCAGCTCAGAGACCGACACTGAGCCACAGTCGATAGTCTACAGACAAACACAAACAAACTTTTCAAACTTCTAGAAACTTTAGCTGGATTGGAGCACTATCGAGTTTGCAGCAAGATTATTATAGTTTTGCATTTTTAAATGATAAGTGATGCATGATATATCAGCACCACATCAATATCAGCTGACTTTTTATGTCATCGTTATCTGTTCAATAAAATAAAAAAAACTAGATAGATAAATTATGTATTTATTTCAGCTGGCAAAACCACTTCATACAGTTTGCTTGCTGTTCAATCCTTTTATTATTATTATTATTATTATTATACTGGTATTTTGATATTGGTTAATATTCAGTGACTTCAGTGCTTTATGTATGTTTTTTTCTGTCAGGCAGTAGATTTTATTTATATAAAAGAAAGTTGGCCCTAGAAAATAATAAGCAAATAATAAAGTTTAGAGATTAGTTCAAACTTTAGAACTTTTTGTTTAAATTAAGGTTTTAAAATAAAATCAGTTGTCCACTTTGTGTTTGTCTTTTTTTTTTTTTTGCAATCATGCAGAAATATTTAGAAAAGTGTAAAAAATCTAAAAGGTTATCGGTTATTATATTTCCATATCGCTGCATCCGTAATTTTGAAATTTTTAAACTCTCATTTAGGGATGCTCAAAATTATCGATTAACTTTTAACCGAAAGGGTGCGTTTGTGACCGATTAATGCTATCAGTTAAACGATTAAAATTATTATTTTATATATTTTTAGTTTTACTGCATAAGGGGCCAATTGAATGCGCCTTTGCGTTAAGAGGGGCATCTTTTGCACGCTGCTCATCCCAGAGCAGCAGTTTTTGTTGTCAAGACAACTACAGACAACTTTTAAAGACCTTGGTTTCCGCTACATTCATTCTTCCATGGCGGAAACCAAAATGCATCCAGCCATGGCTACATTCACATTCAAAACATTCAGTTATTGTTGTTGTTGTTTTTAATAGCGGATTATAAACGCATCAAAACGTATTAAAAGGTAGATTATAACAGCGCAAACTTTTCTGTAACCGTATAGTGCTGTGCGCTGTCTGTTTAATCCTTTGGGGTTACGTGCTGACTGACTGACAGGTGCGCGATGCGTGATGCCAGCAAACACGCAGAAGCTTTCAGTTAAGATGAACACAGTTTCTATAGTTATACTTTATTTAAAAATAAAGTATGGCTCTGTATATAATCACTCTATCTTGTTGGAGTTTATAGCCGTTTCGCTTTACTTCAGGACGCATTAATGCCGCTCTGAAGGTCTAATCGCTGTTTTAAGTTATCCAATTCTGGATGAATTTAGAAATCTTGAATTTCACAATATTATTAAATATTACAATTGTAACAACATAGACAGCAACACTTTTGCACAATCGATACCCAGCTGATTCAGTCATTTCATAAGAGGACCGCTCTTCTTCTCTTCTTTTTTCCTTGTCAACATAAAGGCAGTGAGATGCGCCTCGCGTTTTTGGAATGAAAAAAGCATGTTAGCTGTGGTCGGCCACTTGTACAACTGCAAGACATAGGCTACTTAACTTTGCGGGACGATAATGTATAACCCGTGGCTACTGACACATTTGCCAAAGAAGAAAATTGGAAGAAGAATATTGCTGTTTGAAACAGACGTGTTGATGCCAAAAAAGCGTTGATGTTGACCTGGATCTGCGTCATAAACGCAACAAATAGGCTTTACCTTTTATTTTACAGCTTATAAAGCATGTATGCACATTAATGCAATATCATTTTTAAACAACACAACTGTTTACAAAAAGTCAACATATGTGCGCGCGCACTTGAACCGAGAGGGAGAGAAAGGTAACCATACATCAAGGACATATTCTTTAAAATAATGATTTCTATTAAAAATGTAAAAAGGTTTCGTGATTATAATAATAACAGCGGGGCATTAAATAAATGCATACTTTCCGTGGAGCGGGCAATTTGAGGAAGTCAGCTATTTTTATTTGACGGAAGAAAAAAACATAGGATTGAAAAAAAACAAACAGCCCATGCCGGTTATTAAAAAGAATCAGTCAGTATTTTCGTTTTGTAATATAAATTAATTATTTAAGTGAAAATTATTTAGGGCAGTCCTATTTATTTATTCATTCATTTTATGTAGTTTATTCTGTTCTTCTGTGCTATACACTGCAGGTGCGTGAAAATGCTCTGTTGTTATGTTCTGTTATTAATATACTATAAAAAATAAATCAGTAATTTAAAATGCAATATTTAATTTGTCGGACACAAAATAGTCACGTCAATTTGTTTAATATAAAATTAATAGTAATCTGACCAGTTAACCGTTAATAACCGATTAATGAGCGGCGGTTGTCGGTTAGCAAAATTAACCGAAATGAGCTTCCCTACTCTCAATTTCAGTTTAGTTTGTTTTATTGACGCTTTTGTTTATTTTAGTTTAGCTTTTAGTTTGAGAACACTTTTCTATTTAGTTGCTTATGAACAATTTAGTTTCAGTTTTGGTAATTAATAGAGTATTAACCAGTGTATTAGTGTCCAGTGAAGTTTTTTTTTTTTTTTTTTTGCTCTTCTGCTTGATTTGTCATAAGCTTGGTAGTCTATGATACTCTGGATACATTTTCCAAGTCCAACCAAGAACTAGAGCACAAAAAAAAGTCATTTTAGAAAGCAACAATCAGCTAAATTCAGAGGTAATTTTATGTTCTGTCCTCCAGTATGGCCAACTGATAAATGTTGGTTACACTTTAGTTTAATAGTCACCTTTTGGCATTTTGTTGACTGCATTCTATAAGTAACTATATATCAATTGGTATTGTACTAGTATTAGACTTTTTGGTCAGAGTTCTAAGAATAAGCTGACATGTAAAATTAATTAGTCGGTAGATGGTCTCTTTATGGACCAGCATAAAAAGTGCTGATTTGAGGCTTAACAAATATTTGATTATAAATGTTAAAAACAGTTGTGCTGCTTAATTCTCTGTAAACCATTTATTCCGGCCAGGATTCTTTGATGAATATAAAGGAAAAAAAATGCTTTTATTCTTATTTTTAAAAAAAGTCAATTGTATTTTTATAAATGTTTGAATGTCTCCAAATATAATCGATATAAATATATGGAGCAAATACAGTATTATTTTAGTACTTTACAATAATGAAACAACAACAAAGTGAATATCATATACAGTACATCCCATTAAGAAAATCGAGTGGCGTGTAAGATGCAAGTAGCATACGAAGATGGTAAGATTACATTTTTTACAAAAAAATTATTATAATTATTATTAAATATAAAAAGTATTCAGATTATTACATTTAATAAATATTAACATTCAGAAAATGTTTTAAACCCCCTTTGAATGTCATAGAGCAGTAAATGTGGCTAGTTTAAGTGTCATTTAACGTTGTAAGAGGAATCCACGCTAGACTGTGTTCATTTAATGCAACTCTGACCAGCGTTAAATGGCGTTATCAGGGTTGGGTCAGTGAGATAATGGAAGTAAGATGTGCAATGTTTCTGTGCAGAGAGGAAATGATTGATTTGTTCATTGAATTTTCATTATTGCTTATGTTTGAACCATCAAGGTCAAGAAATATAATGAAATTCAGCTCCCATGGTTAAACATATGGGTAAAGATTGGTTATAATATTCTGGGAAGAAAATGTATATTACAAATTTAAGTTACACACACACACACACACACACACACACAGACACACACACACAAACACAAACACACACACACAAACACACACACACACACACACACACACACACACACACACACACACACACACACACACACACACACACACACACACACACACACACACACATATATATTAGGGCTGTCAAATGATTAAAAAAATTTATGTAATTAAATCACTTTTTTGTAATTAATCATGATTAATCACAAAACGTAATTAATCATGATTAATCAACGCCACATTTATTACAGAAATAGAAACAGGCATGTAAGTGCCATTTCAATTTAAAAACAATCAATACCACTAACAAACAAAAATGATTTCCATGTTGGATTCTAAGTGGACTACAAACACACGCATTCACACACAGACACACAGACACACACAGTACAGCGCATACGGTGAGCAAGGGATTTCTTCAGATTCATCAACACGCACGATGGCATTCATCAAATTTGCTTAAACTAAGCGTTCTAAAGTATAACTGGATTTTATAAGCAAGAATTCTGACACAGCAACGTAAAGCAGACGCTTTACAAAAGTTGCTTGTAGGGGGGAAACAGGTCAAACTTATGAAATGTGAGGGCTCATGGAAGCAGCTTAAAGGCAGAGAATAGGGCTATCATTGACAGTTTGCGACTTTATCTGCCACTTTCACTGAGTACATGGACACCAATAATCCACTTTTATGATTAAGATAATACTGATTAACGCCTGTTTCACACCGCAAGCGTCAGCGGCGCGTGAGCAGAGCGTGAGCAGCGCGTGTGTTTTCGGCGTCCATGTTAACAGATTAGAGCTTTCATACCGCACGCAGCAGCAGCGCGTCAGTGCGAGGCGTGAGCGTCGCCGAAGCAGCAGTGCAGCGATAGTTTCGGCGCTGGGTCTATTTTTGACGCGCTGCTCACGCTCAATTAAAGTGACAGTGCATTGATAATGACCAAAACACATTGAATGACAGTAAAAAGTAGCAATTTTACCCAATAAATGCGTTAATAATGTCAAATGGTTTATATATAGTCATTCAAATGAACTTAAAACGATTAAAAACGGCAACAAACATTTATTTAGGCCCGAACTACAAAACCGAATGTAAAACAATTTTACTATCAGTTTTGCTTAAGTTGCACACTAGTTGTAGGAGAGGGGAAATGGAATATTTACGGGATTTGTAGTCCATAGCGAAGTGTATTGTGGGTAGTGTAGTGCGACACGCATGCTGGATGATGTGAGCTCGCTGTGTTCTGTGCAGCTGAGCAGAGGAAGAAAGTTTTAATCGGCTTTGTTTAAATGTTCACTCGAATTATTCCTACCGGGA